AAAAACTATACAAATTTTATACACTTCATCGGCTACCGAATGTAAATAGTTTATGGCGCAAACTAAAAGTGAAAAAAGCCCATTATTTTTGTAGTCGATTGCTAATTTTTAATTTCTAACTAGTACTTTAAGATGAAGCAGTTCTATATATATATATATTTCGATTTCTTCTATGCTTTCTTGAAGTTTTTATAATTTTTATGTAATTTTACTTTATTTTAATATTTATTTATACTATATTGATTTACAAAATTTTAAAAATTAAAAAATTATGAGGCTCCTCATTCCGTATTAGATAAAATGCTTTGCTTCTGGTCCGCGCCTTTTAAAATACTTAAATGTGTTATAATTCACCGAATACGATTCTATTTTGCATCTTTATGAGAAAATAAATCTAAATGTTGTTAAGACCTTAGAACTAATTTATTTTAGTTTTTTCTGGTCAATTTGTTTATTTTATTCTTTTCTTGGTTAAAATAAACGAACATTATCTGACTTTCTAGATAGTAGTACTCCACTTAAGGCTGGCAATTGGGTTGGGTTGGGTCGGGACCAGGACTAGCCCGGAATTGCGAGCTAAACGGACTAAACAGGCTGGGATCGTTTGACCCGTGATTGGTGGGCTCGTGCCGGTCTCGTGGACCACTTTTTACCGTTGGGACCATTTGGACCGGGCTCTTTTGGCCCGCCATAGGACCGGACCGGTCCCATGGTGGGCCAAACGGGCCCAACGAATTTTTGTAAAAAATAGTTGTTGGCTTTAAAAAAAATGGCTATAAAAAAAAGAGTCATTGACTCTTTAAAAACAAGCCATTAAACCCCCCAATTAATTTTTAACCCCAAACTTTTTATTATTATACTTTTCCCTATTGTCTATTATAAATACCCCCCCATTCTTTAATTTTCTTACAAAATCAATATCAATATGTCAAAATCTCTCTCTAATTTTCTTCAATACTTACTACAATTGTTTACTCTATAAAAAAAAGATAGTGAAAAAGTTGTGAGTTTGCTACTATTGCTTACTTTATTCAAAAAATATTGAGGTTATTAGAATTTGTGAAAAATTTGTGAAGTTGGTGCATTGGTGTCTTCATGTCTTCAACGATAATCAATTTTCAACAACTTGTTTGTCACTTCAGTAAACTCGTTCCAACTTTTAAGTCTTAATATTATAGTTTTGTTTGTTTTATTTAGTTGTTATTACTTGATTAATTAATATGTGTTCCTTAAGAAATATTTTTGGGCACGGTAAAAGTAAGAATAAGGAAAAATTTAAGATTAGCGAATCTAGTGGTACTGCTATTCCTCTTCCCCCGCCCCCCGACTCCCTGATCCAAACCCCGTAAATATCGTACACCTACTATTCTTGATACCGATAATAGTTTATTATAATTTTCCGACACTGAATATTTCCACAATATTGCATCTGGTGAATTTTTAGACCATCAATCAATGAATGCTCTCCACACTAATGATTATAATACTATTAATGAAAAAGATGATGAGGAAATTAATTTTGATTAAACTCAACCGGACGATGATACACCCACTAGTCATGCTCCCGATGTTGACTCAACTAGTGATAACGCTGCTAATCCTAAAGATGACCCAACTGATACTCATGTTACTGCCCCTACTTTTTCTAGAGAACCTACCAAACTGACAAAAACATCTCCTATTTGGCCATTTTTCACTCAACTAGTTGAAAAAAGTAAGGCTAAGTGTAAAACTTGTGATCTAGAGTTAGCTTTTAAATACGCACCAACGCGGTCGGGGACATGATCTTTAAATAGACACATAGCTAAACACCTTAATGATAACGCCAAATATCATCGTATGAAAGCTCTGGCCGAGGGAAAAAGTACACCTAGTCCTAGTCTGACTGACCCTAGTGGTACTAGTTCAAACAATTTCAATCGAAAATTAACACTATTACCAGTGGTAGGACAAAGAAAAATACTTTTCGGTTCTTTCAAGGATGACCCAAGATATTTTTACTATTCAAGCTTCAAACAGTGGCATCAGAGATCACTTTCAGTCAAGCAAGACTTCAAATCGGTGATCATAGACAGTCTATGAGGGATAACTTAGAAAATCAGTACTTTTCAGAGATTGGATCCGATCAGAAAGAAGGAATTTTGGATTTATTGAATCACAACTAGAGATAGACGAAACTTATAAAGAAATGCTAGTTGAACTTGCTGAGGATGCTGCTTCATCCGACAATGGAAGCAGCGATGAACAAGCTACTTTTCCGCCACTACCAACGGAACTTCCTCCGAACCTTGAATGATTTATGAAGTTTGTAAGAGATAGGTATGAAAATTAATTATAAGTTTTTAGAATATATTAAATATTATATTTGCAAGTTTTTTCCCATCACAATAACTTGCAAATTAGGAGCTTAAATTTGAATTTAATAATTAGTATGTAACTTGTATTTTTGGCACTTCTTGATTAGTTCCGTTATCTTCTCAATGATAGTATTAACACCTTGTTGTGCTTATTCCATAGGGGGGAGGAAGACTAAGAAAGACGTTGCCATATTTTTTATTGCTATAATAAAATTACAATGCATTGCTTTGAATATTTTTTTACAATATTTTTTTTCTAAATTTCAATTCAAAAATTAGTATGTAACTTGTATGCAATTTGCAAGTCAAACAGTCGCAACGACTATTTTTGAAAATTAGTTGTTGGACCAACGATCATAATCTGAAAATTTGTAAATTAGGAGTTTAAATTTGAATTCAAAAATTAGATTACAATTCTATAATAAAATTAAAAGGCATTACCTTAGATGTTTTTTAGCATATTTTTGTTTCTAAATTGTATTTAATTTTTAAAAATAAATAAATTACATAGCCGTTGAGCCAATTTAGCTCGTTTGGACCGCGGGCCCGACCTATTTTGCTCGGAACCATGAGTTAGTGGGCCCGGTCCCGGACTGATTCCTACAGAAAGCACGTTTAACTCGGGACCGTTTGAACCATTTATTTAGGGACCGGACCAGACCAGACCGAAACCGGGATTGTAGCCCGCGAGACCGGCCCGTTTGAGGCTCGACCCGGCCCACTTGGCGCAATTTGGTAACATGCGTCCTCTTAAAAAAAATTCTTAAACTAGAAATTAGTTCAACTAATCTCTCTTCTTCTTTCTTTCTTTTCTTTTTTTGGCCCCTTTTTTTTTCTTGAAACAGCAAATACAAATATAATAAAATTTTATTATGAAAGAAATTATGTTTATGTTCTGAACTAGGATGTACTGTTGATACAAGGAAAGTGTTTTTAGTTTTCGAATGAGTTCAGAAGATACTATATTTATAAAGTAACTTTAAATCACATATATTTATACACATACGTGCTTATAGTAGACAATGAATAAGACAATGTGCATATACACAAAAAAAGTTATTATTTTATTACTCATTGTCATGCCTATAGGAACTTTCAACTACTAACATAGATGAAAGAAACAAATAAAGTGAGGCAGCCAAGCTGTCAACATTAGTAAATTAAAGGAGCCGTCAATTTTTATTTTAGTATACTTTTTAAAATAATTATAGTACTTATCAATTTTGTTTCTTGTTATCTACATATTGTAGTGCAGATACCACAAGCATTATTTTAGCTGCTAAATTAAAAAATAACTACATTATCGTAAAGTGACAAAAGGATGGATAATCTTATAAACCGACAATTTAAAATGTAGAAATTGGTGCCACCTAACTTGTGACTACATTACAAAATCAACGGTACATGACCGTCTTCCCAACAAAAATTTTTTTTCCTTGTCTTTGGCTAATAAGATTGCTTATAGGATATGATGTTCCCCTACGAACATTCTAGATATAAAAATAAAAAATAAACATGATCTCTCTTTGAATTTTGTTTTATTGTGCTTCTATTACTATAAAATCATCGTGGGAAAAACAGTGGGTTACTTTGAAAATCACTTATACAAATGCGGATTTAGGATTTTTATAAATAAAAAAATTTTAAATAAAAATTAATCAATGTTTCTTTGAATAAATAACTCACCATTCAATCATATGTACTATTCAACTTTTTTGGAATATGGAGGCCAGCAAACAAAATTAGATTAATTTTATGATATATATATGTATATATATATATAATATACCTAATTCGATGGAAAGATCATGAGTTTACATTCACACTAAAATTGGCCTAAATCATAATATCTATACAATTAGATGTAGAAAGGGTCTTACTATTTTTTTCTTTCGTGACCTCGTGTTCCATAACGTGTTTGTGGTATTGCTAAACAACAGAATAATTTTGATGCAAGTAGGGACATAGATCATTATTTCTATAGTGATCATCACATATATATGACTTACTAAGAAATTAACATGTGGCTTAAAATAAATGTTGAGTATAATATCATGCTCCGAATTTCATAGTAGGCATTTGGACAATATTATTTGATTGAAATTAGAAAAAAAAAAAGCATTTGAAGTTAAACGGCAAAGAAAGTGACTAGTACATAAGTTAATTGTGGTTGGCAAGCTTTTCATTTGAAAAAAAAGGTTAAAATTTTGTGAGTAAAAATTATT